CAACTGAGAAGTTCTATAGTTCTCTCAAGATCAAATCATTTAACAGACATTAGACATGAATGCTGTAAAGAGCCATTTTTCTGATATTTGATATTTCTGTTATTAGATCAGAAACTTAAGCCTTTTTAGATCTTAATTATTAGATAAACAAAAGGAAAATAATATGTTTATTTCTGTGGAATCAAAATGATCCTATATTGGCCTTTACATGGAAATTAATACATACTAATGAAAGCAGTTTCTAATAATGCAAGAAAACAAAATTCCCCCATTCTGCACTGGTTAATCTTTTTCTGATTATTAAACTCTGTATTGTAAAGATTTTTATTTTCAGTACAAATGATTCATTTAACAAACATTGGATCCAGTTTTTTCTTCAACTGAAAGTTGAAATTGTTTGTTATAAAATCTTTTCAATTTATTCAGCTTTAAAATTTTCTTTCAAGCTCAAATGAAGCAGAAAATTATTAAATTTTAGTACTGATATTATTAATTTTCAAAAGTGAAATTTATTTCAGCAGGTTTGATATGATTGAGAGTCCAAGAGACTATTTGAAATTACAATTTGTAAAATACATTTTGTGATGTGGGCAGAATGAAATCAGATGTACTAGTTTTAGTTAGTTTTGGGGCTAGTTTTATCATCTACATAATTTAAAATTAAAAATACTGTATATATAGATGCATTGTCTTTACAAGAATCAAACAAGCAGTACATTCTTTCCTTGTTAAACTGAATCTTTAGAATTCTAAAACTTTAAATTGATTTTATCTATTAATGGTGTGGGAGGATGTCTTAGAAAAGATCTCACAACTTATGAACAAAAAACCCTCAAACCTTTTTCGCATTCAATAAATTCTAGCTTGCTTTTCTTGGTTTCAAAGCATGCATTTTTGGTTTCTTTCTTTTTCCAAAATTCATAACCTAGAATTGCCTCCTGTTCCTCCATCCCACTATAACTTGTCTTTCTTCCACTATTACTAATAATGACTCTACCTTTCTCTGTGATAATTTATCTGAAGCAACCCACTCCTTGGAAACCACCAGCTTGGTATCTTCTACAGGCTTTTCTACTTTCTACACTCTCTCTCTCCCCCAGCTGATCTAAGGGTGGGAGTTCCATCGATGAATTGCTGACTGGTAAGCTAGGTTGGGAACAGTAACATTTAGCAGGGGTGGCAGGAATGGAACACTGCTACAGCTGCACTTGGACGTCTTTTGTCACTTCATGACTGAAAAGAACTTTTTTCAACTTCTTCCCCAACCCAGTCTATTTAGCCCGTCTTTTTTTTTTTTTTTCCTTCTATTTCATGGTCAGAATTGAAGACATTTAAAAGCTTAGTGTTGGTCTCACTACAATTCGGGTAATGCTGATGTGTGTTAGCTTTCTAAAGAGTCAGCTGGCATCTCAATATATGCTGCACCTACCTTCAGTAGGTTGCTAGCCAATCTCCTATTTATCTACACTGATGCTAATTGTATATGTTTTCTAGGCAAGTAGTAAATAAATATGGGCAGATTTGGCTGTGAATGGAGCATATATATATATATATATATATATATATATATATATATATAAGTTTGAGAAATTTGACACAAGCAGTGTCTGCCAAAATTCTTTCTTTGCTATTTGTACATTTCTATTTCACTCTTCATTGAATATATTGGTGCATCTTTTTACATGTGCCAATCTGCATATGAAACTATTATTCTAAAGATTTTAACATTTACTTTTCCATCTTTTGAAGTTTGTTTGCTTTTTGTTTTTTTTATTTACTTTACATTTTTTTTATTTACTTTACATTTACCCATGTATTTATTTATTTTTAAGTATATGTAGAGAAAAGATTTCATTTGGAGGTTTGTTTGTATGGATAACTTAGGAAAATATATTTATTCTGCCTCATATTTAATGTTACATGCAAGTGATCTATTGCAAGTTGCATTGAGTGTTTTACTATTGATGACAAAAGATGTAACTTTTGCAATAATTTGAGCAAGTTAAAGAATTTCTTTCAGAAGTTGTTTGTTAAGCATAATAAACTGTAACAATAGGAATAGCATTTGTCTTTGTTCCTTTATAATTATAGTGTAGTGTTACTAACTCATGGGAAGTAGTATGCATTCAGCTGCCTCATGGGTAATAGCTGTAGCTATTTATAGTCTTTGTGGCTTCATATGTAAATGAGTCACTACAGCTCCCTGTACCAAAGAGCTTTTATCTCCTTATTTTCCCTGTTACTACTTCTGAGAGCTCTAAGACATTGTCTAAATATAGGAGATCTTGATCTTCATTTTTCATAGGAGTGTTCCTCTAACAATTTCCCTTGTTCATCTTCAGAGTCTATATTGCTCTCAATTTCACTGTGTAGTTCATCTTGCTTTGACATGACACTTTCACCTTCATTACTTTCAGGCTCACTATACATTTCTTCATTGCTATCTTGTTGCAATCTAACTTGGTCTGTATGTGCTAATATCCAATTTCCATTTTTTTCTATTATTATAGTGTTCTGTCCACTTTGCATTATGAATCTTGTCTCTTGTAGATTAGATTCACTATTCTTTGTATACCACAGTGTTTCATTGGTGGCGTAAGACATGATCAATTTGAGGCCCTAAATTGTCTACCCATGAGGTCAGATGGGCTTTTCGATCTTCCAGCATATGGTATCGTCATATAGCTTAGCAACAATCTAGGCAATTTTATTTCCATTGTATAGATATTTACAATCCATTTTTTTATAATTTTCACCATCCTTTCTGATAATCCATTTGATTGCAGATGGCACAGTAGGGTTTTATATGGTTTGCATCCAATTTTGTTCAACCATTGGCATATTTCCTCATCACAGAACTCTGAGTTATTGTTAGATACTACACTTTTCCATTGCTTGAATTTTCTTGAAAATATGATCCTTAACACTTGTTTTATGGTCAAACTTCTTTTGTTGGAAACCTGTATTACTTCTGGTTAACTTGAATATGAATATACCAGTATTAGTAATAATCCCACTCTGTTAACATGGGCATGATCCATGTGTACTCTGTCCCAAGGTTGGGACTCTTTAGGCCATATATGTGATTTTGTCTGTCTAAGCTTTCTTTCATTTCATATTTTACACCTTTTTATGTAGACCTCTACATCTGTAAAAGAGCCTGGCCACCATGCCTCCTTTGCATAGACATTATTCCACAATGAACATCATCATGTACACTCTTTATAACTTCACTCCTTTGCATTGCTGGCGGAACCACTATATCTCCATTAAAAATTATACCCCTTTTCTATGATTAGCTTGTGTTTAACCTCTTTAAAATGCCTTTCTGTCTGTGAACAATTATTCCACTTATTATTTTTTATCCTGAACAATATACTCTTCAGTACGGGATCTTGCTTCATATCCTCAGTTAATTTGTTTATTGACAAAATATCAGTTTTGACCCAGTGTAAGAAAGTATCTTTGAATGTTTCCTCCTCTTTCTCACTTTCAAAAGTATTGAACCTCAATCTCAACAAAGCAGCTAAATGTTATTGATTTCATGTACTCATTATCAAAGTCAAATGCCATTAACATTAAGGCCCATCTTAGAACTCTAGGAAGTTCCTTCCTAGGATAAATATGAATTATAAAGGTCTATGGTTGAACCTTAGGAATTTCTAAAACTGACAAGCTCTGTTTGTCATCCATATTATGGCCAACACTTCTTTCTCAATATTTGAGTATTTCAATAACAGGATGATCATCCTGAGCTAATATTCCCAAAATTGTGTGTTCAGTTGCATCAATTGTTTCCTATTTCCCTTAGGATTGAATATTTTTACTACTGGCTTCTTTGCCAGAACAGCTTTTAAATTTTCAAATGCCACTTGTTATTTTGTCCAAATAAATTCTACATTCTTTTTTCATAAAGCAGCAAAAGCTTCTGTCAATTTGGAGTATTGATCTACATATTGTCTGTAGAAATTTACATGCCTAAGAAAGATTCCAATTCTTTTTTTTGTTCTTAGCTACTTCAGCTTTTAATATTTTGTCAATTAATGATTAGTCTGGTGATATACCCTCCTTAGATATGAAATATCCAAAATATGATATTGTTTTAGTGTTGTGCACACATTTTTTTTGTTAATTGTTAATCCAGCAATTTTTTAACTTATTCAAAAGCATACTGGTTTTCAATTTTAATTCTTCATCATTAATAGCATTAACACAAATGTCATCCTGGCAGCATATTTTTTATATCGCTACCAATAACTTGCTCTATAGCCTTTTGAAAAATTTCACTTGTAGTTTTAATTCCATATGGCATTCTTTTCCATCTTAATAAGCATATTGGCATGTTTATTGTTGTGACTTCTTTAAAGTCTTCATCAATAGGTATCTGATGGTATGCAGACTTTAGATCAATTTTAGAGAATGTTTTCATACCTGCAAGAGAGTTCAAAGCCCATTCTACATTGGGGATAAGATATGAGTCTCCACATATTTTGCGGCTTACATCTACTCTGTAGTCACCACAAATATGCAGATCCCTATCCTTCTTTCTTAAATTTACTAACAGGGAGGCCCATTTGTTCCCTACTGGTGGAACTCATTCAAGTAGATCTTGTTCCGGTAAATTGTTTACTTTCTCCACAACTATTGGTAGTAGATAGACTGGCACTTTTCATGCTTCGAAATAGAAGACATTTTTCTTTAGTCTTAACTTTGCTCCATAGTTTTTTAACATTTCAGTTTCTTCTGCCTTGATTTTGTTTACTAATTTTGTTGAATTTATGTTCAACACATCATTTCCTATTAGACTACGATTCTTTTCATGGTTTGCCACAATAATTGGTAATTATTGCTTATTTTTTAGTTCTACATAGGCTTCAAAATAGCCTAACATTTTTATCACAGATCTGTCAAACGGATTCAATTGGACAATGCTTTTCTTTCATTTTAATTTTCTTAATTTATGCCAGAAATTTCTGGGTATCAACATCACATTACTTCCCATGTCTAGTTGCATCTCCAATAAAATATTACCTTTTTTCTTTTTCTCTTTTTTTTCTTTTTCTCTTTTTTTTCTTTTTCTCTTTTTTCTTTTTCTCTTTTTTCTTTTTCCTTTTCTCTTTTTTCTTTTTCTTTTCTTTTTCTTTTTTCTTTTTCTCTTTTTCTTTTTCTCTTTTTTCTTTTTCTTTTTCTCTTTTTTCTTTTTTTTTTCTCTTTTTTCTTTTTTCTTTTTCTCTTTTTTTTTTTTTTTCTTTTTTCTTTTTCTTTTTTTCTTTTCTCTTTTTTCTTTCTCTTTTTCTTTTTCTCTTTTTTCTTTTTCTCTTTTTTTTTTTTTTTTTTTTTTTTTCTTTTTTCTTTTTCTCTTTTTTCTTTTTCTTTTTTTTTCTCTTTTTCTCTTTTTCTCTTTTTTCTTTTTTTTTTTCTCTTTTTTCTTTTTCTCTTTTTCTTTTTTCTTTTTCTCTTTTTTCTTTTTTTCTTTTTTCTTTTTCTCTTTTTTCTTTTTCTTTTTTTCTTTTTTCTTTTTCTCGTTTTTCTTTTTCTCGTTTTTCTTTTTTCTCGTTTTTCTTTTCTGTTTTTCTTTTTTCTCTTTTTTTCTTTTCTTTTTTTTTTTTTTTTCTTTTTCTCTTTTTTCTTTTTCTTTTTTCTTTTTTCTTTTTCTCTTTTTCTTTTTTTTTTCTTTTTCTCTTTTTTCTTTTTCTCGTTTTTTTCATTTTCTCTTTTCTTTTTTTTTTTCTCTTTTTTCTTTTTTTTTTCTTTTTTTTTTTTTCTCGTTTTTTTTTTTCTCGTTTTTTTTCTCGTTTTTTTTTTTTCTGTTTTCTTTTTCTCTTTTTTCTTTTCTCTTTTTTTTTTCCTTTTTTTTTCTTTTCCTTTTTTCTTTTCTCGTTCTTTGCTTTTCTCGTTCTTTGCTTTTTTTGTTCTTTTTTTCTTTTTGTTCTTTTTTTTAAATGAAATGATGACCATATTTATTTTCACTTCATTTTGTTGGACTGTCTCTGTTTTTCTTTTTGGATTTACACACATTTTTAAAATGATTCATTTTGAAACACTTTTCACTTTTTTTTTTTTTTTTTTTTTTTTTTCATATGCCAGACATTTTTGTTTTTCTCTTTGATGTTGATATCCAGAAAAAGTACATGTTATTTTATCTTTTTTTCTTTATCACGTCTGTGTCCAGATCCATAATTTTTGTTCTATTAAATTTTTGAACTAATTTTTGTTGCTGAACCATTTTAACACACTGTTCTAGTAACAACTTTCTCAGTTGTAAATGCATTAGTATCATTTGTTGATACTCTTTATTTTTAAGGCCATTTACCAATTTCATTTGGATCAAATCCTCTTTGATTAATGGTTTTCTGATTCCAGTTTCTCAAATTCGCAATATTTAGCAGGCTGTTTTAAACAAAGAAATTCATGAACTTAGCTGTCTCTGCATTCACTAGTTTTTTTTTTCTTGGGTGCTATATTTTTCAGTATTAGTTGACTTATATCATCAAACATTACTTCCTCCAACTGTCTTGGGTATGCATTGCTGATACTTTTATAATAGCCTCACAAGCAGCAGTTGCTAACAAGAGATTAGTTATTTGGTTTTCTCCTCCAACTAATTTTAAATCCTTCAGCTTTTTTGTTAAAACTTTTGCTGCTAGCATCCTAAGCCACACTTGTGTGTATTCATAATTATCCAGTGATAATTATTTGTTTGGTTCTTTAGATATTGGTGATGTCATTGTAGTGTTACTTACTCGCAGGAAGTAGTGTGCTCTCAACTCCCTCATGGGTAATAGCTGTAGCTATTTATAGTCTTTATGATTTCATTTGTAAATGAGTTATCTCAATAACTATAATTGTTCTTGAAACCCTTTTTTTTTTTTTTTTTTTTTTTTTTTTTTTTTTTATGGAATATGAGTTGATACTTTCAGGGAAAGAGGTGCTATTGTCCATTGAATAGATGTTATATTTATAACTCTCCATCCAGCTGCCCTTTTTGCAATTAGAACCTCTCAGCTTCTACCAACTTGCAAACATACAATTTTGTTGATGAATAAAATTATCTTCAATAATTTTTTTTTTTTTAAAAAAGAGTATAAAGAATACTCATGCATTTTTTATGCAAATGTTGTTTTCCATGTGATTGGCCACTTTATGTAGAATAATGGATTGTGTTGATTTTGCAAGCTGTTACTTGTGAATGCTTCTTGTTGACTGGTGCACAACCTTTTTTGTTTGGGGGAGGAATTTAATATTGTCAGTTTCATTTTTAACAGCATCTTAATATAAACCTAACAAAATGGACCACAAAAGTCTTGTAAAAGTTTTTTCCCCAATAATTGCTTATTTAAATCTAATCCCAACATAATTCCAAGTAGAAATACATTTTATTCTGAATTCTGTAATATGTCAAAAACAAAATAGAAATGGTCAGAGTCCACATATAATAAACGCTCTATAGTAACCTTTAAAAAAATTATTTAATATAATGGATTCTGAAATGTTCTTGGGCTGAACCACTTCCCAAAATATAATTAAATGACCATATATCAGAATTTATTTGGATATCACTTCTTGGTTGGATTGAAAACTTTTCAGTACCTTCTCTCTCTCTCTCTCTCTCTCTTTCTCTCTCTCTATATATATATATATATATATATATATATATATATAATGATTGAATAATCTAAATATATGTTTATTTACTTTTATTTTAATCCTCCCAAATTCACAGACTTATTTCTTAGTGCTGTTAGAAAACTGAGTAACAAAGACACTATAGTTTTGGCTATTTCTTTTATTTTCCAAGATCACCTTCAGGGATGAATTGCTAAGGTAAAATTAGTGTAGTCGGTAGCTGTGATTTTTTTTTTTTTTAAATGTGCATGAAACTTGCTCCATTACAGTAAATTTACATTAAGAATATGTAAGGGAGGTAACTTCATTTAATTTTTTTTTTTTTTTTTTCATTGTTAACACTAGAATTATGGCAAGCTCATCAACAGATCCTGTTTCTGGAATGAGAACTACCATGTGTGCAGCTAGTCGGTTACCTGGAAGTGGGGGCCATTCATTTGGATGATCCTCCTGCACCTGCATGATAAGCAAAAACAACCAATGAAGAAGGAGAATGTTTTAAAAATATTCACCCTGCAATCCCCAATCAATTTTATTTTTTAAAATTTTTTCTAATTTGAGCATCCCACAACATTGCTTTTATAGATATTTTAAAACATTGTTGCTATACTCATAATTAATTTTATTTAGTGTTGTTTTTTTTTTATAGATAGTACTTTGAGAATTTGAAGTTTTGTAACAGCACTAAGAAATTGATCCATGAATTTGGGAGGATTAAAATAAAAATAAATAGACATAATATGTCTAAATTATTCAATCAAACATGCTTGAAGGAAAATATGCTGCCTAAATATTCATAGCTTATATATATATATCTCAAACCTTATGACAGGATTATTTGGGTTCTATAGTTGTTTAGATTCCAATTGAAAGTAGACTTCAGTAATCAATTAAAACTATAGAAACTGTAAATATCTAATTTTAGTAAAAAAAATAAAAATAAATAAAAAATAAACTAGAAACTACCTATCCCCAGTTCTAAAACAGAAATCTTAGGACAAGCATAAAAGTATTTAATTTCTGCTTAATTTGTATTAGTTTTTGTGTGGTTATTCTTTGCTGTTTGATCAGTTTTTGTAAATGCTGACTAATAATAGGAAAATTTATCATTGATTTTGATAATGACCCAATTACAATTTAAATGGCTGATACTCATAACTACTATCCCAAGTTAACTGAATTTCAGTCAAACATTTCAAAGGAATTAAGTGTTTGTAATTTTAAGGCTTTCACATTGGAAATATATGTATAGGATGAGTTAACATTACCTATTTGACAGGCTGGCATCTCTGCTTGTTAGGAATGTAAACAAAAAATGTATTTATATCTTCTCAAAATCAAAAAATTACAAGAAAATAGATCAAAACAGTGCATAATCTTCACATAAAATTAACAGGTCTGCTATAAAGCCCCGCAAAAAACATACCAGTAGAAAATTCCTTCACTGTAAAAAGAAATGAAACCTTGTTGCTCTTAAAATGACAAAATGATTTTTGCTTCTATTGATCAGCCTTGTGACATGAACAAAGGATAAATTATCAATGAAATGTTCTTTCACCAAAAATTGAATCTTACGATTTTCACATGTTTAAAATCTTTTCAAAAGTAAATTCCAAATAAATTTCTTGACTATTTAACCCATATATTTTACATACTTTTATTTAATCAATATTTTTAATGTGGGAAAACTTATAACTTCACCCTCCAATTGGAAAAGTTAATTAACTAATTAGGATATGCTGGTAGCGTAATTGTTATTGGCATGGAAAGTGAAATTGGTGAGGTAAGTTGAAATTCTGTCCTAGTTGATTGCATATATTTTTGCACCAAAATGTTTTTGAGAAAGAAGATGTGAGTTCATCTTTTCTCCCAGCTGAGTTAAATAAATTTGATTCTCTAACCTTGGATGGTAACCAACCTAAGAGAAGGAAAACCCTGAATTGAAAACCATAAAGAAAACAATAGGGAAACTACTCTATTGTCTTTAAAAGAAAGTTACCAGTCTCTAATAAGATGCAATGGTTACTTTAAAATAAATCTTTCTCTTATTCTGCTATGACATTTTACTAAGAATCACTGGGATTTATACAAATAATTTTTGATTGGCTCAGATTAATTCTTCATCAAATAAATTGAACTTTGTTTTGTTTTTTTCTGTACTTATTTGCTACCTAGGGAATGGCTTGTATACAAAATCAATTGCTAGCCTTTGTTGTATTTTCTACATATACTAATGACATTGGAAACAGCTGTGTGTCCATGAACTCTGCCAACAAGAGAAAATCATGAAGCATCTTAAAAGCTGTTGCATATTTTCACGAGAAAATCAATAGAAGCAGAGTAAAAAAAAAAATTATTTTGTTAGGCTATTACAGACTTTATTAAGAGTAAAAATATCTGGTTAGGAGTATAGAAGATAGACTTGTCTATCATCTAAAATAAACTCTGGCTTAAACTTGCAATTGTATTTTGATTAGTTTACACCAATTTCTTTGCCTTGATTATTTTTTTCTTATAGCAGTATTTTGCATACAATACTCTGCAGCTTAAGTGACTATTGTAGTTTGTAATGTCAAACATTGAGTGCATATGCTTCCACCTCTTATATACCCCATGCCTGGACTTGTAGGTTCTCAGATTTACCCCCCCCCTCCTCCTGACCTGTGCACTGAAAACTAGGTAAACCTTATCAACACAATGTTTTTTTGTTTCATTTTTTTTTTTGCTTTAGTTCTATTAATGGTTTCCAAATGTTATTAATGTCTCTACTCAGTATACCAATTTATTCTCTACTGCTGATCCTTATCTATTCCTTTGACTTTATAAATGTCAGTATGTCCCTCCCACACATGATCTGAATTGAAAGTATCCACAAATTACAATTAAAAGCACCAATGGAAGGAATTGGTTAAGGAAATCTGATCTTATTTAGTATTATCAAAAGAATTGATTCTAGAGGATAAATCAAAATTACATTCAAAATTATTAATCATTCCAAACAATATCAGAACAAAATATTACATTTTTGGAAATTTTCATTAATTTTTGCATTATTTATTCAATTAATGTTATCTCTGTTTTTATGATATTATTTGTTAAAATTTTATTTGTAAAATTATTTTTTCTCTAGAAAATAATTTCTTAATTTCTTTTTCAGGTAAGTACCTGATTTGTTGATTCCTTGTTCTCTCTCTCTTGTGAGTATTTTTGCAGTTTTTCTCTCTTTTGATCAAAGTCTTTCTTTGAAAGCCTAAGTCTTTACGTTAATTATTCTGTATGTTTGAAATTGTACTTTTTACTAGAAAGTATAAACCATGCAGTCTTGAAGCATGGCTGATTCTCTGGCTAAAAACTGAATAGATTCAGAGTGGCTTTCCTGGACAGGGATTGACTTGGCTTAATTGGTAGACAGATTATTGACAGGTTAATTGAATTTAAAGGTATTTAAAATATTGCTTTTGTCAGAGATCATATTTGATTAAACAGTTTTTATTATGAAATTCAGGATTCAATTCTTGGTGCTTTTCATTCTTGAGAAAATCGACTTTTTTTTTTTCGTTACCATCTTTGGTTACTCTGTTACCATCTTTGGTTACTCTGTTACCATCAATAGCTCAACAATATACTTAGAGAAATTTCAAAATTAAGATTGAATTGTTTTCCATATTCACAAGAATATAAAAATTATAAAAATAGGAAAACACCATTTCTATTTCTGTCTACAAAACAAATTTGTAAGGCATGATAAGAAATTGAAGCTAATTTTGAAGAAAGGGTCAAGTTGTTGATTGTTTTAGCTGAATTATTCTGTACAAATTTTGATATTTTTCAGTTTTGTACCTTGAAAAAAAAATAACCCAAATTTAAATTTATCAGGCTAGGTTTGACAAGTTTTCTGAAAAAACCAAAGTAGATAAAATGTGTATAACCTCTACCCACATTCAATATGCCAATATTTTAGACTTGACCTGTACAAAAAAAAAAAAAAAAATAGATGTACACAAACGTGCTGAAAAGTTCTTGGCCTGGCCCTCTACCAAAATCTAACTGAATGACCAAACATCAGAATTTTTTAGACTTTTGTTATTTTTAGAAGAATCATTCAGCACCATTCATATATTATCCCAAATCTCCAGCTATTACATTATTACAATGACCTTTTGAAGACCGGAAATCTGCTGATCAAAGCAAATTTTGTTCACTTCATGTTCAATAATTAAGACAATTTGTTTTTTGTTCTTTGTTTTTTGTTTTTTTTTTTTATTGTTCCCCAGATGTGTTAGTAATATTTTTTCCTTGATTTACAAAATTAACTTTTACACCCTTATGTAGTCATATTACTGTTATGCCTCCATAAACTTTTTAAAGATTTTTATGCTGATCTCCTTCTTTATAAAGTATCTAGCTCAACCCATCTTCTTTTTTTGTTATCCTGCAACAAAGACCCTTGACAGTGCTTTGACAATAAATGGAACATAAGTGAATCATAATTATTGTCCCTTTTCATAGAGATGATCATTTATTTTCACTTGCTTTCCTCCTTATTATTCTTATTGTTCATGCAGTCTGTTATTAGTATAAGAGAAGTGCAAAAACAAAAGAAACAAAATTTTTTGGTTTTCTTCAATATAAATGAAAACTTTCAGTAGTTTGACCTGTTAATTAATTTAATCATTTTCTTTCCTTCAACCATAACAAGGAAATCAATCTGACTTTAATCATCATGGGACATGTGTTATTGTGGGGAAAATTGTGAAAATGGCCTACCTCGGAAACGCGTTCGAATCTGCGCAGTATGTAAACACTGGTCCTTCCAACTGTAAAAGAAAACCAAATGGCGGCGCCAGCGTTTTATGCCGAGTAGTCTCGGTCAGTTAACGTGAAATCTCGTTGCCTCGTGATTCGCATGCAAATCGTGGTCGGTCCGCAGCTGTATAAAAAGCAGGCTCGTTTCTGCTGTTTCAAGCGAAAGGCTTTCGCTTTCGTGAGAAGGTTGGACGAAGCGACCGGTTTTCTTTGTGCCTACCTGCTATCACCAGTTGAATTGTTGAGTTACACACTTCAAGCTATTTTTGGCAATGGACAAGTTCGATCTAAAGTTGATCCCAGAATTCGACGGCTCCCCACGGGCCCGACTATCGTTGAATGGTTTGAAAAGGCCGAACGTGTTTGCAGGGTGTCCAAAATAAAGGAACCTGCACTAGTCATCCCACTGAGACTCACGGGAGGAGCCCACGCAGTATATCAACAACTCGGGACGATGCTGACCTAGAAGAGATCAAGGACGCCCTGTATACGGCCTTTGGAATAGATCCATTCATCGCTTGGAAACAGTTCGTCGGACGACGGCTCGAGCCAGGTGAGACCGTGGATGTTTACCTGGCTGATTTGCGAAGGCTGGCAGTACCGTTTACGGAGCAACGGACCGCATACTGGGTGCGCCTTCCTGGCAGGGCTTCAGACGACACCAGTCGGCTCCTGCAGCGTCTTCAAGATTGGACACACTGGGAATTGATTTAATTGCTAGCCAGGGCCGAAACATCTTGAAGGACACGGAACAGATCGCGGCAGCCGTGAGAACGCCTGAGACACCGAGGGAGGGCCCAAAGTGCTACAAGTGCGGTGGACCCAACCATTTCTCTAGGGACTGCGGAGCCGAAGTGACGTAGGAGGGAGCGGCAGGCGGAACGTGCTGCGACTACGCTGCTATCGCCAAAAGAGTTAGGCCATGTAGCACAGGATTGCTCGGGAAGCGAGTCCGGGGACAAGGTGCTGTCGCAACCCTTGCCCCCTCTCGGTCAGTAAATGCGGCATTGCCTGTTATCGCGTGTGCGTTGAGGGTAAACGATGTTCGGCGCTTCGTTGACACTGGATGTTCCCGATCGATCGTTAGCGGATCGATGCGTGACATGGAACAGTCAACAAATCGAGATTCGGACGATTGACGGGTGTCCGGGCCTGTTGTGGTGTCGGGACTGTGTCAGTCCTAACAGACGGAGGGAGTCATGCCAAAGTCGACGTCTTGGTGGCACGTCAAAGGCCCTCGGTGCGACCTGCTACTTGGGATTGATGCGATCCGGCGTTAGGAGGCATGATGATCACGCCAGCGGAAATGTGGAACTGGGTGAAAGAAGAAAGGTGTGTGCAGCCCTTTGCGTTAGTGAGGCGGTTCGACGTCTCCTTCAATTCCGGCGAGAGAGTGTGGACCGCCAGGTGAAATGGGCCCAAAAGACCCGCCAGTTCAGCTTCGCAACAAGGTCGCTGAGTACAAAGTTCCAGACAGCATCAGAGGAAAATACGAGAAAGAGCTTCAGCAGTGGATTGTGAACGGCTGGCTGATTCCATACCCCAGGAAAGACTGGGACCCCAAAGGGTCTGATTCCCTTGATGGCAGTCGTGCAGGAGCAGAAACAGAAGGTGCGTCCTGCACTCGATTACCCCGCGAATTGAGCGACTTTGTGGATGCTTTCACTGCCGATGCAGAAGTGTGCGCACATAAGTTGAGCGATGGCGGCGGCAGGGAGTCAATGTGTCGCTTCTGGATCTGCGAACGATATCTTCAGATTCACATCGACGAAGCGCTGTGGCCATTTCAAGCGGTTATTTTCAAAGGCCAACGCTTCTGTCTTACGCTGCTAGGATTTGGGCTAAATGTGGCGCCACTCATCATGAAATCCGTTATAGACGCCATCGCATCGCAAGACCGCACAATTGAAAGTGCCACATCAGCATCGTTGATGATATCTTCATTAATGAAAGTTTGGCCTCTGCATCGCGTAAAGACAACACTTTTCGGATTACGGTTTGGTGTGCAAGGATCCGGTGCGACTGAGAGATGGAGCAAGAGTTCTTGGCTTGCAGGTCTGGGAAGAAAAATGGCACCCTCCGATGGAAACGAGGAAGTCAAATTCCGGAAGCCCCTGATGTGTTGACCGGGCGGCGCGTATTTTTCGTTGTGTGGGAAACTTGTTGGACACTTCCCAGTGTGTGGATGGCTCAGGGTGGCAGTTGCATTCGTCAAGCGCCTGGCAACCGCAGCAACCAATGGATGGGATGATAACATCAAAGATCCTCTCTCTGTCGCGATACTAGCAGAGATGTTAAGTAGAGTCGGGGAACTGGATCCCGTCGGAGGAGACTGGTGCATGAGTGGTGACGAGATCACAGTCTGGGAGTAGTGAGCGTTCAATCTGCCTTGAGTTAGACCTGCAGGGCAGCGATTCTGATAACAGCAGCCTCCGGGCGGTTACAGTGTTTACCGACACTCAAACCACAGCGAGAACACGACGAGGATAAAGCTTGTGTTATCCCCTTCGGAGAGGGACTCGTGGCGACGATCGCCACCTCCCTGCCCTGTTTGTGATCATGAGATCAGGGGAGTGTGGGGAAAAATTGTGAAAATGGCCTACCTCGAAACGCGTTGAATCTGCGCGGTATGTAAACACTGGTCCTTCCAACTGTAAAAAAAAAACCAAAATGGCGGCGCCAGCGTTTTTATGCCGAGTAGTCTCGGTCAGTTAACGTGAAATCTCGTTGCCTCGTGATTCACATGCAAATCGTGGTGGGTCCGCAGCTGTATAAAGCAGGCTCGTTTCTGCTGTTTCAAACGAAAGGCTTTCGCTCGTGAGAAGGTTGGACGTGCGACCGGTTTTCTTTGTGCCTACCTGCTATCACCAGTTGAATTGTTGAGTTACACACTTCAGTTATTAATCAGGAAAATCATTCTACTATTGTAAAGAAGAGTCAAAAGATATCTCTATAATAATTTCAAAAGTCATCATTGCCAGTTAGTGTGAAGTAATTATTCTGAGAACTTTACACTTTGTGAGAAGTTAAAACCAACTTGAATTCCTTCAAGCTTTTTTTTTTCTTTTCCCAAACAGAAGTTCTGCTTTGTGAATTAAATATATAACCTAACTTGCAACATAAAGCCAGAATGTTGTTTTTATTTCATAATGAATTCTGCTTGCATCTGCATTGGCTTTGTGTGATGAATAGAGAAACATGAAAAGCAAATATGATTGGAATTACTAGGAGATCTGAAATGCTAAACTTTTTTTTAAAAATATAGATATGCATAATTTCAAATATTTTTTATTTATTTTTTTAACATTCAAAATCTTGTACTAAAACTGTCACATTTTCTGTCCTGTCAGAACACTTCCTAGCTCTTTCAATTTCTGTACTTGATTGATTTTAACCTCTCCAATTTATAGATCACATCTTTGGTTGTTCATCTTCATGACAGCCATACATTCTGTCATCTAACAATAGATGATTAGTCCTTTCTTCCTTTATTGCCTTGCTTTTGTGCTTGCCATCAACACTGTGTCATCTGCATAGCTAATGTCATTAAGACTGTGTCCACTGATAATTAATCCTGGTAGGACTCCTAATTTTCTTAGGATTTCCTCACTGTATAGATTAAATTAATTTGGTATGATGACATCCTTATTTTACACCCTTTTCTATTTTCATGTACTTGCTCAATTCATTTTCTGTTCATATAAAGACATTTTGCACCCAGTAAATATTCTGGATTATTGCAGTATCTTTCCCAAATCAGTGTAGTTTTCATATCTGTTCAAATAGTCTAGGAAACACAGATATACATTTTTTTGTCCTGACACCCTCACCCCTACATTCAGTTGAAATGTGTATATGTGCATACACACACACACACACACACACACACACACACACACACACACACAGAGGATAGTAAAGGATCGATTATCTTTTTATATTTATTAATCTTAGTTTTTAGCACAAACCAAGTGGAGAGGAAGATTGTTACACCAATCTTCCTTGTTGGGAATGCCTGTCTGCCTCCTTACAAAATCAACTTTCCCCAGGACTCGGATATTCATTCTTGGTAAATCGGTGGTAAACAGTGATTCAACCACAACATAATGTTTACATATTTATTATTCTTAGCTTTATCTGGCACAAGGCCACTAGTATAGGCTGTTCATTGAGTATTTAGCTATAATGGTCTTTGAAAGCAACTTGCTAATAATCATTGTATGATAGCAATGTGTAAAATTCAGACTATATTTTTGCCTAATCAAACTCCTTTCTGCAATTTTTGTTGCTTTACATTTCAGCTAGTAACCCCTCAACACCACTGCGGATTCCATTTGTAACTCTGTGATTAGGTCAATCCAGAAACCAAATGGATTATGACTTAAAATATCTTGTTTTGATTCATAGATACTTATTTTGCTCCAATACTGGTTAGATGACATTGTCATTGCTAAGCTGTTTTGTCTTGAAGGAGAGACAAAAGTACATAATGAGCAAAAGTGACATACAGATTTGCTCCTACCATCATCAGAGGTGTTGCGTTACCACAATCAGTAATAATCTTACTCGGTTTTACATGACAAAAGAAGAAATTTCTTTATAGCACCAACATGCTTTCTTTATTGCTTGCACTTTTGTACCAAATCGAGCAAAATTCAAAGTTTGAAATCATATATTGTTCTGAAAATGTTGTTGACCATTTGCATATTATCAATAGGCACAAGAAAAACAAAGCCTTTTGCTTCTCTTCTCAAATAGTGATCCATAAAGAGAAAGAAAAAAAAACTTGTAAATGAAAATATCCTTAATCTCTTGAGATCTTTCAGTTGAAAATACCGGTAAAAGAACTTAAAAAATTGACTTGTTTATAATGACATCTTGAAAGCTGTCCAGATCTCATTTTTGCTCAATCCTTATTTTTTCCAAAATTGTTCTGGCAATCACAAGGAGTCAAGGGAATAGTCAAAGAGAAAGACACAAGACATTGAATGGCTTATTAAATGAAATAAAATATTGTAATATCCAGCCATAGACATTTAGCTTTTTATAAAGATGATATTCTCAATAAGTTGATAATGAAAGTTCTCTCTCCCACCTCCCGTCAGTTCTTCATTTTGCTTTTTTCCCCTCTCTTAGTTCTCTCATCCTTAATGCTTGCATACTTTTCTTCTTCCTCTTTCTATATTTTTGTTGTACAGAAGAATTCAGCCCTTTGCTGTATAAGGCTTTCTTGCTATGACATAGCACACATTATGGCTAGCAAGAAATGTCTCTTATCTCTTTCATAGTAAATTCATCATATAGTTGTCTCTCTCTCTTTCTTTCTCTCTCTCTTGATTGTCAGCTGTTGCTGTTCCATCACAGAACCGCCGATAGCAATCAGCAGATTCCCGTGCCACTCATGAAAACTTGGGTTGGAGAAGTGGGTGTAGGTGTAACCAAAATCTCCTCACTCCTTTTCCTTCTCTCAGGCTGCATCATCTCCTCACTTATTCTTTGCCTCATCATTGAACATGATGCTGGCGGCTGCTCCTCTTCACAAAGACTTGCATCACTGCATTCTGTCTCTGCTATTGGCTGCTTCTAATGCCATCCTCTATAGCTTGCAACATCAGAATCTCTCAACTTTTTTGTCTTTTACTTCCACCAAAATAACTAACTACCAATTTAAGTATCTACTTACAACTCACCTCCTCTTGTTAATATTAGTACTTTGGTAATTAGTACTCTCCAGATGTTCAAATCATCATTTCTTGCTCTACAGCTATGGGTGCTTTTACTTACCTTTCACTATTTTTGCTATCTATAGTCTCACCTTTAACCCACCTCTCACCAATGCCTTATTGTTACATATTCTATTACCTGGGTACATTATTTTGGTAAGACTGCTTCTTTAGCTTACCACTTATGATTTACCTACATTTCTTGTTGGCTGTACTTTTTGTTGTCATCTTTTCTTCTCATTATTTTTGTTCTTTTTGTCTAACCATCTTGATGCAATTTTGTTCTTGCTCCCAACATCTTCAAATGCAGCCTATCTCATTTCCTCTACCGTTTATATTCAAGAGCACATGGTTTATGAGGTACATAACCCTGAATAATAATTTTTCTTGTAACATTCAAATCCTTTGATATTATAAAATATTTCTTTTCCCCTATTCTATTTCCTTGAGCAAGCTAATAAAACATGTTGGATAGGAATTGCAATGACTCAATTGATAACACTATACCTCCCTCCCCAGCACATTATGGGTTTACCTCTGACTAAAATATCACATGACCAAAAACAAAAAATAAAGTTATTAACAATACTGTCAAGAATTTATTTAAGAAAGATTGAATCAGATTTTCTTTTCATTTACTTGGTTTGATCTTTATTTTTAAAACAAAGAATATAAGGGTTTATGGTTTAGAAAAAGGTCTGCATTTGATCTGGCCATTGGTTCCCTCCTATGAAAATTGGCATAAAATAAAATTGCTTAAAAGAAGACAAATTTAAGGCATTCTTGAACATCTTGCATTAAAAGAGGAAGACATGAAGAACTTAAAATTCAATATTTTCCAAGGCAAATTAGGGAAGATTGAGAGATTACATTCTCTCTTCACTTTCTTTTCTGCTTCCCTCAGTCAGCTATGTGCATAAATACTGTTTATAGGAAGGTTTTATAGCTTACTTGCTTCTTTTGTCACTCATTTGAAGGTGTGGGTGGGTGTATGCATACATATATCCACTTAGTGCTTTCTATATGAAAAGAGCACTTAACATATCACCTTATGTATATGCATGGATCCATGAATTTCTGAGTCACTTGAAAATGACTTATTCATATTTTTCCAAATAGACAGACTGGCCCAGCTGTAACAACTATAAAAATCTGTATGCCAGATAAAATGCTTAGATATTTGCATATAAATCTCTGCAAGAACAACTAAGATACAATCAGTATATGTTCGCTTTGGTAAAGAAATGTAAATAAATTTTTCTTTTAATAAACATATCTGTCTTTTTGTGTCTGTTCTCATGCTTGGTTTCAACACAGCCCTTAAATTATGTCAATGTCAGCCTTATAAGGAGCAGCAGTCTATAAAATCATGGCAGTGTATTCCTATGTCACTTTAGAGGATGGGAGTCCTTTTACTAAATTTTGTGTTTTTTCTCCAAAAAGACCAAGACAGGTGGGAGTGCATTTCTGTCAAACTTCAAACTAAATTAAATGGAAGGTAGAGAATCTAATGACATTTGTTTACAATCTTGATTCTCTTCTGCTCAAAGATTTGGTAAATATGTTTGCTTTGCATTTCAAATTGTTTATAATGGATAAAATAAATTCATTTTCTATAAAATCTTTATAAAGTATCTATAGTATTGTTGACAATGCTATGAAATCATTTGGTAGATTGTATCCTATGAAATGTACTATACCTTGTTTATTGTATCTCTGAATGTCTCACTGCTGTTTATATTCTATAACAATACTAGAGAGCTTTGGTAAAAACAAACCATTTTTTCATGCTTGTCTACTATATATATATATATATATATATATATATATATATATATATAATAAAAGAAAAGCATTTAGTACTTTGGATTAAAAACAAGTTTATTATTTGTGAACTTGTAATGAATTTCAGATTGCTTGTTCAGGTTCTCCAAAATCAAATTCTTACAAAGCTTTTATTTTTATCAAAATGTTTTGCAAGATAGGCATTTTTCATATACCTTTCTAAATCTGAACTGAAAAATGATTTTGACTTTCTTTATCTTGAAGCTATAAAAAGAAAAAAATCTATTTTGCAATAGTGTAAATAGGATTTTTTTTTAATCTAAAATAATCGAGTAAAAGGAATTACCATATGTGATAGCCTTTAAGACATCTATTTGTATTTGATATTACAATATAGTTAAAGTACCAGTACTTATCTCTAGCATCGGTTGTCTGGGTATATTAGTCTACCAGATCTATCAACTTTACATGCAAGACCTTGGATATTTTTGTTTTGTTTTGTTTTTTAAGATTGGTGGGTGGTTTATATATCACCTAATATTGTGTTTAGTTCTTATAATTTTGGGCAGTCTCAAAGTCAAAGTTTTCAAAAAGTTTAAATCTTCTGCAATAACCAAAAAACAAACATCTGCTACCTTACAGTGTTTACACTGTATTTTTTAAAGCCTGAACATATATTTCTCACTTGTCTATGCCAAAGAACGGCTGTCAATAATTCCTCTGTTTGGTGCATGAAACTCCCAATAAAAGGAGTTTTCTATTTGCAAACAACTCTTGAAGAGTGCTTGAATGAATGAATAATATCTCTTAAAGATAAGACAGGAAGCTTAATAGTCATACAGATATACCTGGTTAAAGAGATGGAAACAATTTCACTATTTTTATCAATATGAAAGCCAATTTTAAACAGTGTTAAATGTTCCCATGGACATATCAATATGTACAAACATTGGTTAATTAAGTTAAAGCTACAGGACAATGTATTAACAGTCTTGGGCAAAGTTTAACATTCATGTTTGCAAACAGTGTGTCAAAAATATGTTTGTTTTTTTTTATACTACTATTACCATATGAGACCCTTGGTAATTTTTGTAGTAAAAAGCTAATTTTAAAATTTTAAAACTCAAACACCTGAAACTGGATTTATGCATTTTCTTTTTTTCTTGAGAATTAACAACAAAATTATATGCTGTCTACTTTATTAGATTATTCACAAGAATAATTTGATATTTACAAATTATTAAACACATACAACTACAATGCAATATTTACCATTTACCATATTAGAAAGAAATAACTATGAAAACACTTATTTTATTCATAAACTTATAAAAATGTCTGAACAAGAGAACTAGAAAAATGAAATAAACACATAACTAAGACTAACTGTAATTATAAATTTTGAAAAAATGCATTTTCCAGACATTTCTTTCACATACATCCACTGATATAGTTTGCAAGCATTGGGATTTGTATCTTTTTTTTTCTCAAGTATTAGCAAGAAAAATATTAAACAAGGTTTATTAGAATGTTTAATTATAAAAATAGTGTTTAATACTTTTGTTATCAATTCTCAAGACAATAGCAGAGGCATAAATCCTCTTTCAGCTGTTGGTGTTTTATTCAATTTCTAAAAATAGTTTTATACACCATAAAAATTGTCAAGCAAGTATACAGCAATAGCAGTATCAAGAGATAACTGAAGAAGGCCGGAGCGTACAACGGCCGAAACGTTGTGACAAATATAGCGACAAAGATGAGGACAATAGTCCAACTAATGTAAATACTGTGTTAAACTTTTTTCATTTTTCTTCTTCCTATATTTAATCAATGTCAATTATTTGGACTTTCTAATTACATTCCCTATTTTTCTGCATTTGCATTACTTTGATGCTAAGTGTTATTCAGGTAAGACCCTCTCTCTCTGTACTGTTGGTCAGATTGTAAGATGTTTGCTGTGGACATTTGTTAATGCAATTGGGAATGATGCATTGGCAATTGGTACAGTATAACTGTGAGGTTTTGATAGACCAGGTGCCCATACATGTTAGTTTTACTAGTAGATTAGCATCAAAAGAAAATAAGTTCTATTTTATTATATAGATAAAAAAGTATAATTAATCAATATGTAATACTAGTAAAATCTTCAATAACTGCCTTATAACCTTTTCTGTATGCATTAACTTTTGTATTTTGTAACAAGTATGTATCTATCTGGTCTGCTTGTAAGCTGTAACATATTTAGTATTTATCTGCACAAATGATCCTGATGCATTTTACCTTTATGTTGACATGTCAGAAAGTGAAGAAAAAAAAACTAAAAATTGTACAAGTGGTGTGGTTTTGTTTTTTTTTGGGTTTTTTTCTCTGACTTCATTACAATATCTACAAAAAATATTTTGGTATGTCATTTCCAAATAATGATTCTAAAAGATATCTGGCTTCCTAAATTGTCTAATTGCTCAAAAGAAGTCTCTTCTTTCAACTTGTTCTTCTGCACTCTATTAACTCTCAATTTTAGTCAATCCAAATTATTGTTATTCATCCATCAGCACAAAGGCATCTTTATTCTCTATACAAAGAAAGTAAAGTTTTTAATAGACATACTTTACAATGTTCTTTTGATGTTTTTGCTTTTCATTTCTTTGTCATTATTGTACATGACAAATATTTTGAGAAAGACAATAAGCAAAAATATTTGTAAGGATGATTAAAATTCAGCCATTCGCAACATTTATTTCTTTTTCAAACTTGAACTGCTTCATTTTATTCTTGAAACCTGCTGCAATGGTTCTAGTTATTTTAAGGTAATCTCTCTCACTCACTCACACACGTCCCAGGAGTTTGTTCCTCAAATAGCATCATTCATGTAACAGCTGTGTGATGAGCTCTTCTGTAAGAGAAAAATCAAAGTTTTTAATTAAATCAATAGTGTAGATCTGAACATGGATCTTGATCAACACCACATCTTAATTTATGTATTTATACATGTGTATATTATAAATTGTGCAAATATTTATGCAAATACATACACCTCATTGAGTATATGAATGGTATTAAAATCAGAAAAACAAATAGA